TCTTTCTTTCTTTCTTCTCCTATGCAATCATGCATATGCATATGCAGCAAAGGTCCTACCCTCCCGCCGAGTCAACATCTCTTGAGGATGCGCTGTGGAGGGGCGAAACACGTGTCGAGTTTAGGTTTGATTTCGTGGCATGTTTTTCCGTTTTCTACACGTGTGCATATGCATGTTACCTTTGCTGCATGTGCATATGCATGATTGCATACGAGTGGGATTGCATCCTGCAACAAGCCTCGATTTTTGTCGCGGAATAAAAACTAAATATTTTTCCTAACATTTAATGTCATGGATTTCCGCTAAGTTACGCCTGGTTCTATAAATTATCATAATAATATATTGGAAATAGCGACTTTCTCACGTGAATGAACTGAGAAAAGCTCTACTAGTTTCAAGTCACAGCGGGACTCTTATTTATGAGCAGCGGGCGCGTCGCGGAGCCGTCGTGCAGCCGGTAGAGGGCGCAATGGGTGCGCAAGCTCCAGTTATTAGATGACTGCGCGACGTTGCCACAATTAGTTAGATTAGTCGATAATTTCAATTATAATTATAATTATAATTTCTAATTATAAGTTTAAAATCGCCAATCCGCTTTGAGCATGTGTAGTGATGGGTGATGAATGCTCACCTTCTCCCTGTGAGAAGAGGCCTTTGCTCAGCAGTGGGCACTTATAGGCTCATGATGGGATATGATTTGTTAGTTATAATATGGAGATCACATTACTGGTACAATTGAAATGTTAAATTTTTTGTATTAGATATTTATCGAGGCACATTATACAGGCCAAAAAGACGTCAAGATTTATAAGAGCCGAGAAGAGAAGATATATAGCTAGTTATATATTTAATGAAAATCATATAACCTTATTTAAACCGATTCAATCTCACATAAACCCAACGTGAAAGAACGCTAACGTTGTGATTGACCGTAAGACCGAGGTTACCGGACACGCAATCCTAAATCCACAAACCCCAAATCTCAATTTTAAAATCTCTAAAAGACCGATAAGAACGTTTCCAACTTATCTGATTTCCACAAACGTGTAGATTGCTTACCATCAGGTTGTCTGTGTACTTTTTAATCGTACTGTCCTAAAAAAATGGCGACCGCGGTACGGTGACCGAAATTAGCAAATAAGTTACGCCCAACAGTTCTCTATCAGTCATTGGCACGCTCCATTCCTGACCTATGTAGCCAAATCATTATTATCAGATGATAACAATGTTTTTGTTAAATATATTTATTAATTACTATTCACTTTGTATTAGAATAGATTTGATAAGTCAGTTACGTCAACAGTGAGGTCGTAGTGGCCACGAGGTTAAGGCGCCCGCTTCTCATGCATGAAAGTGTGGGTTCGAAAGTACCAAGCAAGTACAATGGCAAGTACCAATGTGACTTTTTCCGAGTTAAATGTACTTTCTATGATTATTTAGACACCACTGACATACGGTGAAGGTTAACATCGTGAGGAAAATTTTTTTTGTTTTTATCTAAATATCGAAACTTTATTCAGAAACATGTTTAAAGATGAACACCCGGTTTCTGAGAGGCTTGTCAACGCTAAAATTAACTAATCTCCTGTTAAATCTCTTGTCAAATCATCTGATTGGTCGTTGATAATTCAGTCAACCAATCAGATGACTTGACAAGTGATTAAATTGATTTTAACATTGATCGGCCTTTCGGAAATCGGGGGGAAGTCTGTTACCGATATTTTATTTGAATTTATGTAAATGAAAATAAATAGAAACGTTTCAATTATAGTTATTTATTATAATAAAAATATTTTACATCAATAAATTTTATATCACAGCTTCTTTTAAATGAAAATATTTATAAGTAATACAATGTTTTCCTTACATCTACATATATCTAGGATAAATACGCAATACTTATACATTAAACCCAATTAAGGATCCTATATCTCTTTTCCATGCATGACATCCTTAGAACTCATTCACCACAATAACTTTTGTAACCTTGTCTCTTCAACTATAGTCTAAGTCTAGGGTTTCTGCTGTCCAGGTCCTCCCCAAGCTCCACTCCAGGGAGTCTGTGACTCGGCGGGACCTCGTCGTGCAAACCAAAACGCTGCAGGTCCAAAGTGCTCGCCGTGAGGTCCACGGAAGTCGTGTGGCTTAGCATCATGTGCATGCTTGAAGAAGGGAGGTATTCTATCATCAGCTCCGTTGTGTGGTCCGTGGTGTCTGCGGTGACATGCAGGGCCGCGCTGTCCATCATCAGCAGGTCCAGGGAAGCGATGGAACTCTTGTGGGTCATGTCCGACTCCTCCCATGGCTCCGTGCTGACCAGGAGAGTGTCGCTGGGAGAATGGACAACCAGACCGTCTGGCCTGCCTCTTGGCTTCGGGTGCAAAGTACCCGTCGAAGGGGATGTCACAGATATCGTGCTCAAGTGCTGCGTCCATGACTGTGTTGTGATACAATGTTGTTGTTCAATACACTGATACTGTGCGTATACTGTTCAATACACTATGCCTGTTTGTGACGTTGTGATGTTGTTGCTTAGAACGAGTTCACTCGAATGCCAGACGGATCGACTGGTGCCAGTATAAATAATGAAATAATGACGCAACGTTACTGACGATTGCTACGAATGATGCGCGATATGATAATGTTCAGTGAGGTTGATAACTCAGTACTATAATGTTTATGTGACGCAATTTTTTCATTGTCTGTCACTAAAATAGATTACCGAGGTAAACCTCTTTAAAATTATACTTAGGAGATAAGTGCCTTTATAAATTTCTCATCTGATTGACGATATGGTTTTACAGAAAATTAGGAATTTCATTCTCATCGTCATCGTCTTCTCCTGTCGGATGACGTTCACTGTTGAACAAAGACCTCCCCCTTAGTCCTCCAGGTCAAACAACAACTCACCACTTGCATTAAATTTCCAAATTCATCTTACAATAATCTATGAGGCTGTGGAAGAGGCCGACAGCTCATTAGTGGCTCAGGCGGAGTTGCAGAGCAAGCGCGCCCACAGCCCAAAATGGGGAGGTGTTAAGTCAGTAAGAGTCTAACACTCCCTCTCACCTTACCCTGGACGGGAGAAAACAAATGATGATGGTCCCCCGACCAAAAAAAAAATACAACACAGGCCTTGGTGCTTCATACCTAATGGCAATTCGTCAATGCAACCAATGAATCATTGTGACTCTGATCATGTGAAGCAACTCATAACTACATAAAGCAACATCTTTGTAAATCTAATGATATATTTTTTGTGACGAACCTCACGGACCCCTGACCTTCTTGATTCGGTTCTTGAATGACTTTAGTTCTGTAACTGATATTGGTTCGGTCTCTCAAAAAGCGTACGTGAATTAACGATTGCGTTATGTTGTTAAGTAATAAGTCAGGTTAACCTACCTAATTATTACCTCCTTGTTCTACCTCATACCTTAAATCTCCAAAACGCTCAACCCGAAAAGCCCAACGTCCATGGACGTCGAGAGTCCATGGACGTCGTCGATTGCTTATAATGTAAATCGTTTGCGATCCTATAATATCATAATAATAATTATAGTATTTCTATAGTTATCATCTACCAGTCTATAGCCACCTACACCCATAACCATACAATCTTTTACCACTTTGCAAAATAGTCCTGCATCAACCGGGGTTTGGCTTTGGGTGCACTTTATAGTGCATACAGGGATAATTGCCGGCTGATGTCCCATCACGTTTAGATTAAAACTGTTCAACGGGCTTCTGCGAGTTAGCTTCGGCTCCTCGTACGCCTTCCAGAGGTCCGGAACCCTGTGGTCCCGTGAAAGGAATGATCAAAACGTCTACACTGTCTTAGGTGGCATCCTAGAAGATACCTACAGATACACGTCATGATGCAATTATGAACAAGTTTGAAAATATTAAATTTTCTATTTTTAGTCTAGAGCGCAGCTGTTTTATCATAATCAAGTACAATTTGATTAGATAAGAGGCAATACAAGAACGATATTGCAAATTAGAAATTATTTGAGTGACGTATGTAGCTGAAGTTTATTGATATGCAATTTGATAATATTGATATTGTTTTGTTTTTTAGGATAGATCAGCAAAGAGCCTATGGATACCTGCAACCGTAAAGAGGTCAACTTTGATTCCAGCCAATTGTTTGTTGTTACGGGAATAAGGATTGCAGATTTTAAGTCTAGGATTGTAATGAAACATTGACAGAGAAGCAAACATTAAACAATATTCATAGATTTTACTTATCTAAACATTGATTAAATCAAATCAAAACAAATCAAAATCATTTATTCCAACTAAACCATAAATAGGTAGTTTTGAAACGTCAAAATAGAATAGTAGTCTGTCAGTCTGTTCGTCAGTGAAGCTAGGTGCTCGTTCCAAATTGTAGTTTCGAATGGAGAAGAACGAGCAAGAAATTCCATCGTTACTCTTTTAATATTTGTTTTACAATTCACCAATAATACATTTTTTATACATTACTGTACCTCGTGTGAGAACAATGCAGAGACAAGTTGTTAATAAACGGAACAAATGATGGTATCTATCATTAAAATTTTAATCCCTTATCATCTCGCACATGGCGCTCACATATGCGTACTCACAATCCAAAATAACGCTTCTATATAAACTCATTCTATTTTTAAAAATACAAGAGACTTTATATCTAATTATTTTCAATTTTTTTTCTTTTTTACTAAACTGCATTGTACCATCTCTATCTACATTTCTTACCAACATTCAAGATGGAAACTCAAAAACCATAATCTCTTCCAAAATAGCAGTATACCAGCCTTATAAAAATAAAATAGATCGACCGGTTATCAAAATATTAGAGGCTCGTCATAACATTGCGTCATACAAACCTGTTTTGTCAATTTACACCTTAATATATTTACATTATCATATCGCGAATGTTTCGTACCAATCGTCTGTGACGTTGCGTCATTATTTCAATATTTATACTGGCACCAGTCGATCCGTCTGGCATTCGAGTGAACTCGTTCTAAGCAACAACATCACAACGTCACATACAGCCATAGTGTATTGAACAGTATACGCACAGTATCAGTGTATTGAACAACAACATTGTATCACATCACAGTCATGGACGCAGCAGTTGAGCACGATATCTGTGACATCCCCTTCGATGGGTACTTTGCTCCCGAAGCCAAGAGGCAGGCCAGACGGTCTGGTTGTCCATTCTCCCGGCGACACTCACCTGGTCAGCACGGAGCCATGGGAGGGATCGGACACGGTGCACAAGAGTTCCATCGCTTCCCTGGACCTGCTGATGATGGACAGCGCGGCCCTGCATGTCACCGCAGAGACGGCTGGGGACACCACGGACCACACAACGGAGCTGATGATAGAATACCTCCCTTCTTCAAGCATGCACATGATGCTAAGCCACACGACTTCCGCGGACCTCACGGCGAGCACTTTGGACCTGCAGCGTTTTGGTTTGCACGACGAGGTCCCGCTGAGTCACAGACTCCCTGGAGTGGAGCTTGGGGAGGACTAGGACAGCAGAAACCCTAGACTTAGCTTAGACTATAGTTAAAGAGACAAGCGTACAAAAGTCATTGTGATAAACAATGCATTTTGTAAGTTGTAAGGGAAGTTTCTAATGAGTTGTTTTGAATTTAATATTGTATAGACATTTGTTTGTTTGTTTTTTCTCGTTTGTATTGTTATCAGAAATGTATGACATAAGGCTGATGTATTTGTACCCGACATAGTTTTGGTACATTCTTATATTTTTTGTTTTTTTTTTCTTAAAAAAAACGTTGCCCCACATTAGGATTTTCTCCTGTGTCTTGGGTGCGTTTACAAACATAAAATTTCACATGCACATCACACCCAGACCCGGAACAACAATCTGTGGATCACACAAAGAGTTGTTCCGTGCGGGAATCGAACCTGCGACACGTTGCGCAGCAGCCAGTCGCCCAGCCACCGCGCCAACCGTGCAGTCATAGTCATATTTCTAGGTTTAGTTTTGTATGGAATATATTGTTATTTAGTTTTAAATTTTATTTTACTTTATTACGTTTATGCTATTTATTAAACTGTGATTCGAAATTATAGATAAATAAATTATTTTTAAATAAACAATTTTGTAGATTTATTATTCCTTTTATTATTTCCAATTTAAGTTTATTTGTATGTACACAATAAGGGTTTCGAAACGCATTTCAAAAAAATGTTAAGTCAATCATAAGTTGAATTTTCTATTGGACTACCTACTCTCGCGCGGTTTCATCCGCTGCTCGTGATGTTTTATAGCCTATAGCACTCAGGAACATTGTAGGTATCTATCAGTGAAAGAATTTTGGCAATCCGACCAGGGGTTCCAAAGATCATTACAAGAAATTTTACCTCTTTATAATATTAGTATAGATTAACAAAGGATTCCAAAGGATGGAGCTATGGAAGGATGGAGAAAGAAGGAAAAGGATCAGAAGGAAGGAATCAGGAAGCCAAAATTACATAAACATAGAATAAAAAGCCGTGCCAAACCTACATTCCATTTGGGCGAGGCCTCAACAATATACCAACATTATCTAATAAGAAAAAATATCGGTATCAATTCTTTGTTTCACATGTCTGTTTACAAACACAGACCTGATGGTCAGGAGTGGAACGATTCTTCTGAAGGTTAAATACCACTACTGGTAGAAGTTCAAGTTCAAGTGCAAGTAACAGCAGGTCAACCTTCCTCAATCTGTTCATTAGAATTAAAACTTTAGATTTAAAGCATAAAGTTTAAAATCAAATAATGTTTTTAGCACTTGGAGCAGGTTGATATGTCTGGGTGTACCTACGTAGATAGTAGCTTCTGCCAGCGGTTGTGACTGAGTCAGGAGTTAGCATGTCTGGTTCCAATAAAATCTCTAAAAGACCGATAAGAACATTTCCAACTTATCTAGTTTCCACAGGCGGTGCCGATTGCTTACCATCAGGTTGTCTGTGTACTTTTTAATCGTCCTATCCTAAAACAATGGCGATCGCGGTATGGTGACCGAAAAATTAAAAAGAACGAAATAAGTTACGCACAGCTGTTATCTATCAGTCATTGGCACGCTCCATTCCTGACCTATGTAGCCAAATCATTATTATCAGATGATAACGGTGTTTTTGCTAAGTACATTCATTAATTACTTTTTCCTTTGTATTAGAATAGATTTGATATTAGTTACGTCACAACAGTGAGGTCGTAGTGGCCCCGAGATTAAGGCGCCCGCTTCTCATGCATGAAAGGTGGGTTCGAAAGTACCAAGCAATTACAATGGCAAGTACCAATGTGATTTTTTCCGTGTTATATGTACTTTCTAGGATTATTTAGACACCACTGACATACGGTGAATGTTAACAACGTGAGGAAAAATTTTGTGTGTTTATCTAAATATCGAAACTTTATTCAGAAACATGTTTAAAGATGAAGTTTGATACCGATATTTTTAATTTGAATTTATGTAAGTAAATGAAAATAAATAGGAACGTTTGAATTATAACGTAATAAGTTTTATAATAAGTTTTGAAGCCTATGTATTTAATTATGTACATACATATATTAAGTTAAAAATTAAAGATAGATAGGAAGCTTTTAAAGAAAGAGGAAAGTCATCATCTTAGGAAAATTTAAACCTTTATAATTATTTGTTAATAATCATTTATTTAGTAAAATAAATAACTTATAAGTAATTTCGTAACAGATAATTAAAACTAAATAACAATATATCTAATTCAAAGCTTAACCTAAAATATAATTACCAAAAGTATTTCGGGTAAAAATACATCAGCCTTATGCCAAACATTCCTGATTATACATCGATGCATACAATATCAAAATCAAAACTACTCTTGAGAAACTTCACTAACTACTAACAAAACGCGTTATTTATAACAATAACTTTTCTACGCTTGTCTCTTTAACTATAGTCTAAGTTAAGTCTATGGTTTCTGCTGTCCAGGTCCTACCCAAGCTCCACTCCAGGGAGTCTGTGACTCAGCGGGACCTCGTCGTGCAAACCAAAATGCTACAGGTCCAAAGTGCTCGCCGTGAGGTCCACGGAAGTCGTGTGGCTTAGCATCATGTGCATGCTTGAAGAAGGGAGGTATTCTATCATCAGCTCCGTTGTGTGGTCCGTGGTGTCCCCAGCCGTGTCTGCGGTGACTTGCAGGGCCGCGCTGTCCATCATCAGCAGGTCCAGGGAAGCGATGGAACTCTTGTGGACGGTGTCCGAACCCTCCCATGGCTCCGTGCTGACCAGGAGAGTGTCGCCGGGAGAATGGACAACCAGACCGTCTGGCCTGTCTCTTGGCTTCTGGTGCAAAGTACCCGTCGAAGGGGATGTCACAGATATCGTGCTCAAGTGCTGCGTCCATGACTGTGATGTGATACAATGTTGTTGTTCAATACACTGATACTGTGCGTATACTGTTCAATACACTATGGCTGTATGTGACGTTGTGATGTGTTGCTTAGAACGAGTTCACTCGAATGCCAGACGGATCGACTGGTGCCAGTATAAATATTGAAATAATGACGCAACGTTACAAACGATTGCTACGAAACATTCGCGATATGATAATGTTTAGTGAAGTGGTTAATCAGTATTATAATGTTTATGTGACGCAATTGTTTCATTTTCTGTCACTAAAATAGATTACCGAGATAAACCTCTTCAAAATTATACTTAAGAGATAAGTGGCTTTATCAACTTTCTCATCTGATTTACGATAAGCCTTTATAGAAAATTAGGAATTTCATTCTCATCGTATTCGCCTTCCCCTGTCGGAAGACGTTCACTGTTAAATACAGACCTCCTCTTTAGTCCTCCACGTCGAACAACAACACTCCACTTGCGTCAAATTGTCAAATTGCCGATTTCATCTTACAATAATCTATGAGGCTGTAGAAGACGCCCACAGCTTAGCAATGACTCAGCGGAGTTGTGGGCCAAGTGCGCCTACGGCCTAGAGGAGGAGAAGGAACGAGGAGGTTTTTAGTCAGTAAGAGTCTGACACTCCCTCTCGCCTTACCCTGGGCAGGAGAAGTCACATGATGAGGGTCCCCCGACCAAAAAAAATACAACAAAGGTGCATCATACCTAATGGCAACTCGTCACTGCACCAAAAGGATCCTTGCGACTCTGATGATGCGAAGTAACTCTATTCGAGTACATAATGCAATATATCATTAGATTTACATAGTATATACTTACCTCGAGGGGCAATGACCTTATGAGTCTTGCTACGGCATGAGCCATGCTACGGCTTGAATGGGCTGAATTGACCGGAGGGAGACCACAGCCTCATGGAAAGCCCGTGTGAATCAACGTTTTCGTAATGTTATATTGTATGTTATTTAAGTCATCTCTTAGAGCTTACAGCCTTCCGCGACACAGATGGGGTCCAACAAGGCTGATGTTCAGCAGTGATTGTGGGCCAAGGGTAATGAGGTACTGCGCAGCACTAGCCTGGAGCAGGAGAAGGAACGAGGTGGTTCTAAGTCAGGAAGAATTTAGCTATTTGGTCCTCTTGCTTCTCTCTTCTCGAGAGAAGTTATTTGATGATTTTCCCCTTTTCGGAAACTAAAAGTAGATCACTATCTAATGATAAAATACACTATTTTTTATAATACATGTCATGATGCAATTATGAACAAGTTTGAAAATATTAAATTCTATTTTTAGTGTAGAGCGCAGCTGCTTTATCATAATCCAGTACAATTTGATTAGATAAGTGGCAATACAAGAACGATATTGCAAATTTGAAATTATTTGAGTGACGTATGTAGTATTATTGATATGCAATTTGATAATATTGATATTGTTTTGTTTTTGTAGGATAGGTAGGCAAAGAGCAGCCGGAACAATTGACGGTAAGCAATCGGCGCCGCCCATTTCCAGCCAATTGTTTTTTGTTAGGGGCCCAAGAGTACGGCGCGTAGCGTTCCGCGCGCGCCTCAAAGACCCAATAGACCACCACAGACGGGGCCCTATAGGGCTGATGTTCAGCCGGGGCTGCGAGGTAAGCGCAACATCGGCCCGGAGCAGGATAAGGAGCGGGGGGGGGGGGGGGGTTAGTCAGTAAGAGTCTGACACTCTCTCTCGCCTTACCCTGGGCGGAAGTCATTGGATGATATTCCCCTGACAAAAAAAAGGGGGTTTAAGGATTGCAGATTTTTAGTCTAGGATTGTAATGTAACATTAACAGAGAAGCATACATTAAACAATATTAATAGATTTTACTTATCTAAACACTGATTAAATTACAAGAGACTTTAAATCTAAATATTTTAAATTTTTTGTTTAATATTTTGCTAAACTACATTGTACCATCTCTATCTACATTTCTTACTACCATTCAAGATGGAAACCCACAAACCATAATCTCTTCCAAAATAGCAGTATACCAGCCTTATAAAAATAAAACAGATCGACCCGTTATCAAAATATTAGAGGCTCGTCATAACATTGCGTAATACAAACCTGTTTTGTCAATTTACACCTTGATATATTTACATTATCATATCGCGAATGTTTCGTAGCAATCGTCAGTAACGTTGCGTCATTATTTCAATATTTATACTGGCACCAGTCGATCCGTCTGACATTCGAGTGAACTCGTTCTAAGCGACACATTACCACGTCACATACAGCCATAGTGTATTGAACAGTATACGCACAGTATCAGTGTATAGAACAACAACATTGAATCACATCACAGTCATGAACGCAGCAGTTGAGCACGATATCTGTGACATTCCCTTCGACGGGTACTTTGCACCCGAAGCCAAGAGGCAGGCCAGACGGTCTGGTTGTCCATTCTCCCGGCGACACTCTCCTGGTCAGCGCGGAGCCATGGGAGGAGTCGGACATGGCCCACAAGAGTTCCATCGCTTCCCTGGACCTGCTGATGATGGACAGCGCGGCCCTGCATGTCACCGCAGACACGGCTGGGGACACCACGGACCACACAACGGAGTTGATGATAGAATACCTCCCTTCTTCAAGCATGCACATGATGCTAAGCCACACGACTTCCGTGGACCTCACGGCGAGCACTTTGGACCTGCAGCGTTTTGGTTTGCACGACGAGGTCCCGCTGAGTCACAGACTCCCTGGAGTGGAGCTTGGGGAGGACCTGGACAGCAGAAACCCTAGACTGAGACTATAGTTGAAGAGACAAGGGTACAAAAGTTATTGTGATAAATCATGCATTTTGTTAGTTGTAAGTGAAGTTTGTATTGAGTTGTTTTGAATTTGATATTGTATAGATGTGTAATCAGAAATGTATGACATAAGGCTGATGTATCTGTACCCGACATAGTTTTGGTACTTTCTTATATTTCTAGGTTTAGTTTTGTATTAGATATATTGTTGATTAGTTTTAAATTCTAATTTACATACTTTATTACATTTATGTTTTTTATTAAACTGTGATTCGAAAATATAGATTAATAAATTATTACTTTTTAAATAAATAATTTTGTAGATTTATTATTCCATCAATTATTTCTAATTTAAGTTTATTTGTATGTACACAAGAAGGTTTCGAAACGCATTTCAAAAAAATGTTAAGCCAATCATAAGTTAAATTTTCTATTGGACTAGCTACTCTCGCGCGGTTTTACCCGCTGTTCGGCTCCATTTAATTGTAGCGTGATGTTTTATAGCTTATAGCACTCAGGAACATTGTAGGTATCTATCAGTGAAAGAATTTTGGCAATCCGACCAGCGGTTCCAAAGATTATCCCCTACATACAAACTTACAAATTTTACCTCTCTGTACTTAATATTTGTATAGATTAACAAAGGATTTCAAAGGATGGAGAAAGAAGGAAAAGGATCAGGAAGCCAAAATTACATAAACATATAATAAAAAGCCGTGCCAAACCTACATTCCACTTGGGCGAGGCCTCGACAATATACCAACATTATCAATCTCAAATCATCAATCTCAAATCTCAAATGCCTTCAATATGGTCAGTCACGACATCCTATTAGCCATCCTGTCCCATCTTACGATCTCTGGCGAGTCACTGGAATGGTTCTCCTCTTATCTTCAGGAGCGCCAGCAGTCGGTCAAGCATGGTGATATGTCATCAGGTTGGCGCGAATTAAAAGCTGGCGTTCCTCAAGGCGGCATACTATCACCTCTCTTGTTCTCCATTTTTATCAATCTTATCACTTCTGACCTTCGCTGTGCGTACCATCTGTATGCAGACGACTTGCAGTTATACTGTCAGGCTGGCTTAGACAGCTTGCCCAATGCCATCTCAAATCTAAACGATGATTGAACTACCATCAAGAACTGGTCTGTACGGTTTGGCATTGCGGTAAACCCGAACAAGTGCCAAGCTATCGTCATCGGTAGCTCTCGATCTCTTAGTAGGGTTGACAGTGCATCTTTGCCAGCTGTCCTTTTCGACGGTGCGATCGTTCCTTACAGCAGTGACGTTAAAGACCTAGGCTTACACATTGACAAGAATTTAAACTGGAATGCACAAGTCACTAGCGTGTGCAAAACAGTGACCGGTTCGCTGCGGGCCCTTTATCGCGTGAAAAACTTGCTTCCGTCCGTCACCAAGTCGATGCTTGTGCAGGCCTTGTTGTTCTCTATAATAGATTATGCTGATGTTTGTTACTATGACCTGAATGCAGATCTCCTCAATAAACTTGACCGACTTCTGAATAACTGCATTCGTTTCGTTTTCAACCTGCGCAAATATGATCATGTTTCTGCACATCGGTTGCAATTAAAGTGGTTGCCCATTCGTCAGCGCAGGGAGCAAAGGGCGCTTACCACTCTATTTTCCTTTCTCAACTCACCTTGCCTACCTACCTATCTGTCCCCTTATTTCCAATACACCTGCGCAAACCATAGTAAATATCTTCGCTCATCTAATAATCGTCTCCTCAACTGTCCAACTCATCACTCAAAATTTCTTCACTCCTCCTTTTTTGTTCAGTCTATTCTTCTGTGGAATGCGCTACCCGCCGATGTCAGGACTGTGACTGGTCGGCTGACATTCAAGCAGAGAGTTCGGGAGCTTCTTCTGAGGAGGGTTGGGGAGTCATCGTGATCATCACTACATTTATGTATATATATGTATGTATGTGTTTATATGTGTAAATATATTAAGTAGTATGTGTTTTATAAATATATGTATTTTCTGTTAATTTGTGGATAACGTTGTGGGCTGCATTGTTACATCAAGTTTTGTTTATAATGCCTGTGTACACTATTTATAATGTAGTTGTTTGTTGTCTCTACCCAATAAAAATAAAAAAAAAAAAAAAAGAAAATGTATATAAGTATAGTTCTATGTACTTTATGTATGTTTATATAAACCTATATTATACTACTCTATTTCGCTTGCTTCTTGCATCTACTACTGGATTCTCTGCATCACCCAAAGGTCGACTGGTAGAGAATGCTCAATGCATTAAGTCCGCCTATGTACATACAAATTGTGCATGAAGTATAAATAAATAAATAAATAAATTATCTAATAAGAAAAATATCGGTATCAATTCTTTGTTTTACACGTTTTTACGTATTTACAAACACAGACCTGATGGTCAGGAGTAAAACGATTCTTCTGAAGGTTAAATACCACTACTGGTAAGATAGAAGAAGTTCAAGTTCAAGTGCAGGTAACACTAGGTCAACCTACCTCAATCTGATAATTGGAATTTAAACTATAGATTTGAAGAATAAAGTTTAAATCAAATCAAGTTTTTAGCACTTGGAGCAGGTTGATATGTCTGGGTGTACCTACGTAGAGAGTAGCTTCTGCCAGCGGTTGTGACTGAGTCAGGAGTTAGCATGTCTGGTTCCAGAAAACCTACGTGTTCTGTCTGTGTCAAATTTCGTATACAAACCCTAAAACCTATTCAAATCCTCTGTCCATAAATCCCTAATAACCTACAAAAGGCCTGGCTACGAACCTTTAAAACAGCTGGAACTCCTGTACATCAGGATCTAGGTACAATCCGAAAACACCGGAACACTGAAGTTTGGTGCGACTGTCTTGGTTCCTGCAACGATATAAATCAGAAGATATTATTTGAGAAGAAGAAAAAACGGAGTTTGAAAATGAACGTTAATATGTTAAACGGCTACAAAAAGTCAAAGTCAAAAATCATTTATTCCAATTAGACCCTTACATGCACTTTTAAACGTCAAACAAAATTTTGAAGATATAGTGTCAGTCTGTCGGTCAGTCCTCTAGTGAAGCTATTTGCTCGTTCCAAAGTGTAAATTCCGATAGAGAAGAACGAGCAACAAGCTCCATGGTTACTCTTTTTAAATCAGTTTCACATACAAATTCCTTTTACAAACACTTGGTTCAATTATGTGAGAACAGTGTAACACTAATATTTATTCAAACATAAAAAGAAAGTAACCTTAACGACAATAGACAGTCTGGAGCTGACCTGTCCGAACTGACGGCTACAAACTTGTTGAACTCCTTTGATATTATGAGTGTACATAAGTGGCGCAAATTGCTTGCCATCAAGTCCTAAATTCGTCTGCTCATTTACCGACCGCTCTATTACATACAGAAAAAAAAAAACTAACTCTCCTCGTTGATCGAATGATGATATTGTCTACACTAAAATCATGACAATACATCATCAAATAGAGACACATATATTAGAATGAATGTTGTTTTTACAATTTTAATTGGATAGGTATATATTAATTAAAAACATTTGACAAGAAGGTAAGTAGTTTGTTTGAATTACGGATATAAGTACTTCGAATATCGATAGTATATTAGTTTGACATATTGGATAACGTCACGATTTAGTATATTACATGCTGAGGTGTGACGTAACGTGCTGTAACTCCTAAAGTTAAATTCGTTTCATCTAAGTATTTTTAAAGAAAAAATATACGTGTAAAAATATTTTTCAATATACGTATGTATATCGTCATTGTTGTCGTGGTGGCCCAGAGGTTAAGGAACCCGCTTCTCATGCACGAGGGTGTGGGTTCGAAACCTGGCAAGTACCATTATGACATTTTCCAAGTTAAATGCACTTTCTATGATTATTTAAAAACCACTGACATACGGTGAAGGTAAACATCGTGGGGAAACCTGGACTTTTAATATCTAATTATAAGGTTGTGTGGTGATTAATGCTCAAACCTTATCTGATGATGATGATAATATATCGTCATTCCATTAAACTCGTTTTTATAATATAAGCATCAAATACAAGTACTTCGTACAATATAGGTACTTCTCTCGTCCAGGGTGAGGTGGGATGGAAAACCATACTCTAAGTGACTAAAAATCACCCCGTTACTTCACCTGCTGCAGGCCGAAGACGAGGTTATTTACCTTAACCCCGCTAAGAATTTTTTGTAGAATTTACTTTGTTAAATTTAAATACCTACACTTCACTAATTAAGCATTTAAAGTTCACCCTAATTATTATGTTTAACGACTTACTTTCGTAACTATTTGAGAAAACACTCGACCGGTTTCGAGCCACGCTGGGGGCTCATATAATTTACCGTGGGACGTTTACCGCGTCGTTTGTATAACATAAACAATTTATTACGTCTCACGAAAATAACGCCTACGTCAATCGAGCTCACAATATCAAGTTTGGATGTCAAGGTCAAATAAGGTAGACTAATGGTTTTTGGTGAAGGTCAACAAACAATAAACGGAGCACGATCGAAAAATAATTAATGATAAAGAAACCTAAGCTAAACTCATTATCAACCGACTTCAAATATGAGTGTTTCCAATTGATGCTTTTAGGAATGTGCCTTTAGGAGGGGGGGGGGGGATCATCCAATGACTTTTGTGTGGTGGTGGACTATTAGATTCTTATTAAATAAAAACCTGATCTTTGTTCTGAGTGAAAAAAACCCTTTTTTGATTAGGAAAAATTGACAAATGGGGCGAGAAAGAGTGACAGACTCTCACTGACTAAAAATAAAAACAACCCTATTTTCCAACCCTGGGCCTAGGTCAAGGTACATGAGTGCAAAAGTATAGACAAAGAAAAGTGCTATTTTTAACAATAGCGTAATTATCTAACTATTGCATAATTTACATAATGTACTACAAATATGACTCATAACAAAACTCAAACAGTCTAATTTTAGAACTTATAAAATGGCGGATGATGTAATGTAATCGAAAAAGAACCGTTTGTGCAAGCAATAAAGTTTTAATTCCTTAATCATGTATCCATGTACTATCAGTGTCATAAGTGCATGGAGGATTCCAAATCAAAATCGTTTGTACGGCGTTTCATCGCCTTAATAATATACCATGGATGATATAGATGGCGCTAGTATACTAGTGGTATTGAAAAATATACATTTATAGTTTTTATCAGATACAAAGTTATTAACTTAATAATTTTTTACACAAATTTATACTACGATATTCCAAACCTTTTTAAAGCAAAGCACGCAATAACCAGGATTCGAACTCGGTAGCATAAAATTTACCGATGCTACTAGCCATTAGGCCATTGCGTAACCTTGAAATGTTTTAAATTATCCTACTCTTTATTATATTGAAGTTGTTTAGCAACTATAACACGATCATAAATCTCAAAACAGTTGAGGGTAATTTAATATTAACTGTATAAAAATTAAACCATTTTGTTCAATCATAACATTCTTTACTATCTTTGAGTGAGTTCAGTTACGATTTGTTTAACAAGTTTTTAATATTTATTTTTATCATGAGTTTACGTTCAAATATTGATATGGCTACGAGGGCCCAAATAATAGCATTGCATAATCAAAGCTTAAATTATACTGAAATTTCGAGAGAAACTGGCTTAAACGTAAGTATTCTTTTAAAATGACCGTTCGTTATTTATTTTATTATCCATGGTTATCGATACATGAAAATAATAAATAATACACGTCTCTTACAGGTAAAGACTGCCACTTTATGGATATCTAAAGCTGTTTCAAGAAGAGGGTTCATTGGAGCACCGTAGTGGATGTGTTATGAGGAAATATACTGGAGCATTGTCATCTTCAGTGATGCAAACAGTGAAAACTACATAGATGTGCTGAAGACGTCATGAAGATGTGCTAGTGATAACGTTCGTGCAAGACAATTGTCCTATGTGTAATGTTCCATAATTGTGCAAGTGTTTAGTCAGCAATCAGACATACGGATTATTCCTTGGCCAGCGAGATAGGAGAAATAGGATCGATAAAAATGGCGGTTACACTAGTTCTTAGAAGAAAAGATATTGTTGACTATAGGATTAAGCAATTACAAGAGCGGGGTAGCTATATTTTTTTTTAATGGATAAAAATGTTCAAACTTAGTGTTAGTAGGATAAATTATTTATTTAATATTACTATAAACAATTCGTCCCATATCTAATGAATGCTATATCCCGGTCTTAGAAATGTTATTGATTTAAGGTCTAGCTTCAATTTCTTCCTTGTTCTGGAACGAATACTTAAGCTATGAGCCTTTGTCATAACATGATGCACAAAATGAATCACTTTAGTCAATACTTTAATTAAATTTTATGTGGAGGTAAAATAGTTGCAGAAGTAAGGTTGCATATTATATAGAATCGTATTATAACATTGTGTTTTAAACTAACTAATAAATGAGTAGCACAATACAATTTTGATTTAAAATACTTATTAATCTTTTATAAAGTGTATTAAATAATGTGTCAGTTAGCTGAAAAGTTATTAGGTCAGGGTATACACTATATAAGAAAGAAATAAATATTATGTTTTAAGAAATAAATGTCTGAAATTATAATGTCACTAAAATAGTTTTATTTTTTATCCTTTAAGAGAATTAAACTTAGTATTAGTCTTAATCTGTAAGAAAAATATGTTACCTTTACATTAATAGTTAGCACATATTATAAAAGTTATTTATATATATTTATTAATATATTTTTATTCTAAAATTATATATATATATATATATATAATTTATATATATTTGTTATCTTTTATAAATATTAAACGTCAAACATTTTATTTATATATTATTATTATTCATTTTATATAATAAAAATATAAAAAACCCATTGTTATAAAACCAGAATTTAAAAATGATAACACGGAATTGAACCGTTGCCCTTCGACGTCATTATTCTATCATTCATATTCATCCGAGCTACCGATCGCATTTTTTATGAGGTTGAAAATGCGGGTTAGTTTATAACTTTTATTATTGTCTATTATTAATTATTGACGCCATCTTTTAATTGGTTTGCTTGACTTGACTTAGATGGCGCTATATTAAGGGAAATGAGAAAATTAACATAATTTATGTGTATTTGAATATAAATATATTATTGTTTCTTAATTATTATTTTAACCATTAAAAACCTTATTGTGTGCCTCTGCAGTGTTAAGTATTCAAGCTTTGCAGGGTTATTTTCATTTTAAACCAGCGCCATCTAGTTGTCAATGGTAGCGTTATGCAAAACCTGTCAGTCAATAGTCGACCTTAAGCTCTCCATGCATTTTTGTCACTCTTAGTACATTGTACACGACAAACAGTTATGGTCTATGGCATCGCCGTTGGTTGTGGTAGTATTTAAGTCGAAAATGTTCAATTAAAACTGAACTGTATGTCCATTAAGCATAAGGTTTATATTCCCAAAGATTATTTTTGTACAAAAGATGAGTACTGTGACGTCACCAACTCGCCACTCGTATAATAAATAATAATTATTCTATACAAACACTTACAGACAGGTACAGACCGGTAAGGCTCTAAATCATATGGCAAGCTCAAGTTAATGAAAATAGGTGAAAACGAGCAGTCAAAAGACAACTCTATAAGTTTGGTAATGAGAGATAAAATTGAAAAGAACGTATATGAAAAAAAATATGTGACGTCATCGGTAAGAAAACTTGAATTGATTTCAATATCCAATAAATAATTTTAAGAATTCAAAATATTCTATTTTAGAAATACTTACCTTTTTTAAAAACATCACATAAAATTAAAATCTAGAAAGAAAAAGAAATGATAATCTAATAAGTCATTTAGCTAAGCAAGCATTTATTGCATCACTGCACTGACATATACACCTTAAATTTCCACTTTAAGGAAAAAGCATACTCAAAAATTAAAAAAACAGTTTTCCAACAAAACATAAACAAAATATTTCATCAGCTATCCTGAGCGCGACGGCTTGCAACCACTAACGCCATTGCGTTATACAACTCACCGATATAAACTTAGCAGCGTTCCTTCAACGGACATTCTTAATAAATCCTCCAACGTGAACACTTGTGTATACGATTTCAGTATAAACAAAAACAAGACAAGTAATAAAGAAATACGTGCCAGTAATAATTTTCTTAAACAAAGCCTTAAACTAAATATTGAAAGAAAAACTAGAAGCTATGGATGCCCGATTCGAATATGATGTCTGCGATCTACCCTTTGACGGGTATTTTGCGCCTGAAGAAAAAAGAAGACCAAGAAGATTTGGTTGTCCATTCTCCCGAAGACATTTTGGACCATATGGTCCCGGCTTCGGTCCAAATGGGCCACACTTCGGACAAAACGGACCTCAAGATTTTCAACGGTTCCATGACAACAAAGGGCAGCCTGATGGTCGTGGGCCTGGGTGGGAACAACAAGGATCAGGCTGGGAGCAGCAGGGACCTCCATGGGGTCGATTTGGACCTGGATGGGGTCGTTTTGGACCTGGATGGGGACCACAAGGACCACCTAGGCGTGAAGGCGAAGGACCGGCAGATCATTATGGGCCACCTGGGTTTGGACCTGGCCCTGATGGTAGGCCTCAAGACTTCAATGGGCCTAATAATGAACAATTCAGACGTTCATGGTTTTGGTTCAGACAACGTGGTCCTTCTGAGGGACAGGTGAGGCCCATGGGAGGATCTTAAATAGACTGTAGTTTATAGGCTTCACTTTGATAAGCCGTACTGATAGTGTCAAGTGATAATTAATTTCCAGTTTGTTTACAAACTGTTTTATTGATTAAATCTTGAGTGAATGGTGATATTTTTGCATTTAAGTTTATATAGGTGCGCATTTATTACGATGATTAAGATTTTGTGATTTTGGTGTTAAAATTGCAGGCTATTTTGTCATCGATAGATTTTTTAATGTAAGTATTAATAGTATTGATTTATGTAGATATGACAAAATCCAATAGCTTTTTGAAAAAGAAGTGTTAGGTATTACTGAATTTTTTATTGTTAAATTTTCACCGCTGTATAGTCAAGAGATTTTGTCTAGGAATTGGTTATAGAATGATTATGCTTTGAAGAAATTGTGAAAAAACATTATTGTACCTGATTTTTACGTATCAAAATTTTTGTATTAATTTAGTATTAATAGGCATATAGTTTATCCTGAAATGTATTTTTTTATATTATGTATTACATTTAATAATTTAATTTTTAAGTATTAACGAACTGTCAGTGATTTGTATTTTTTATGCTTAGTCGTATTATGAAAGTAAGTTAATAAATTAAGTCAAATAATAATATTTGTATATTTATTTTTCTAAACACTTGCAAATGGTGAGACCTTGTCTACCTCTTTACCAAAGAAAATCTTTATGTACAGTCAGGGGTCAAACATGCAATTGCACTCTACCAATTTTAAAATGACCAAGATATCTTTGTAGATTAGAGTCAATGGTTGAGGACTGCTTTCTGAATCTAAATTATTGAATAAACTGGCTGTGAACCATTTAACTTTTACTACAAAGAAATTTTAGTCATTTTAAAATTGGTAGAGTGTAATTGCATTTTTTGCCCCCTGACTGTACATCTTTATCGATTCTTAACACTTCAGTCTAATAATACAGGTATGAAAAAATATTCCTTTGCGTTTCGTCATGGTGAGTGAGGTTGCCGTATAGCCAATCCTTTTCCCCTCCCTCATGCAGTCATAAATTTTATTTAATTATTTATTTAACACTTTATGTACATAAAAATACAACGGCGGTGATGCAGAGAAGTGTCAACAATAGGTTCTAAACAAGCACACAAATTATATTATTAAAAAGCATAGGTACACTGCTGAGCAAAGGCCTCTTGTCACTCGGAGAAGGTTTGAGCATTAATCACCAAGCTTGCTCCAGGCTGATTGGCGATTTCAAACTTATAGTTAAGTAGAAATAAAAGTCCAGGTTTCCTCCTAAGATGTATAATATACATACAGGGCGTAAGGGACAGCCTGCCGCAAACTGATAGGGTAGATTCAGTATATCGTCTTAAGTTGGCCGGTACATGAAATTATTTCAGGAACGTTATGGGAATCCAATTAAACCGATTTGTTTCATTACCTTACACGCAATGTATCGCTACCACCGCAAACGCACGCAGCGAACGGCAGCGCTTTTAGTATTATTACTTTACACTATGGGCAGCGCCGCGACCTTACCTTTCGGACAAACGGTCGCGCTCGCGCCACGTTTTAATAACAATAAATTATTATTTAAAAGATAGCCGCATTACTTACAAAAGACAATGTAATAATCGCGCTCGCGCCACGTTTTAATAACAATAAATTATTATTTAAAAGATAGCCGCATTACTTATAAAAGAAAATCTAACAATCATAACATGGTAACTGATAAATGATAAAAAAAGAAAAAATGCGTAGGTACCTTAGAATCGCTCCGGTTTCCGGCTCTGGAAAGCATTTGTGATGCGGTCTCGCATTTCGTACTCACTGGCACACGCACTCACAAACACTTTTTCTTTTACGTAACCCCACAAAAAGGGGTCCAAATGGGTTAGGTCTGGGGATCGTGCTGGCCACGGTTGCGGTCCAAACCCACCTAAACTACGTTTAAATAGGAAAGCACTGGTAAGTGGTAGCGTCTCGTTACGTTAGCAAACCAATTCCAAAATCCACGTAGGTATTGGTCTTCCGGCGCCTTTTTGTCTGGGAACAATGGGCTGGTTTTCTAGCAAGCGTTGATCACACTACAGCACCAGTAATTATCCTGGAGTGTGATGGATGCCGACGGTCAGGATACCTACACTACTACAACACATTATTATCTCCCCATAATCACGCGCGCTAAACGTACCTAGGTAGTAATTTCGCACAATTTCTACAACAAAACTTCACTACACTTCACACACTACATCTATACATATAATAAAATCGTAGGAAAGTCAAAACTGTACATTGAATATATTTTTGAAATAATACTTGGGGCGTGATGTACAATAGATACTGAAGCCAAAAATATGGTTTTTAGAATTTTTGTCTGTTTGTCTGTTTGTCTGTTTGTCTGTATGTTTGTTACGGATAAAATCAAAAAGTACTGCATGGATTAAATTGAAATTTTGCATGAACATAACTGACAGGTCGGTTCATCACATAGGCTACATATTATCACGCTATTACCTATGGGGGATGAGTAATGAACCTTTATATCTGTAAACCTTACTGAAGCAGCATGTAGTGTTACCTCATACACATTTAAATTACGTTTGTAAGCAGGTTGTTTGACAGGACGTGCTATCACAAACCTAGACACATAAAAAAATGAAATATAAAATAAAACATAGACTTATATTGGTAAAATTGTTGCTTCGGAATTCATACAATATTTTTGTGTATATAAACATAGGTGTGATGAAGAACTAGCAATTTTTTTTTATTCATATGCGGTTACGTTTTTTTCGCGTTGAAAACGTATTCAGTCGTAATTGAGAAATTATTATTGTTTACCATATAAAAATGTTTCCATTTTCCTAACTAGATGGTGTTGGCGTCGAATTAGATCGCGCTATGGTTTCGTTCACAAAAAGTGATGTTATGAGTACCGATGTCGCCGCTTCAACCTATAAAAACGGGGGTTACCTGCGTTGTTTATAAGTTCACAATCGTCATACCATTCGCGAAAAAGAAGGTTAGCTCGATCCCTTGAAACCGCTGACGAGCGTGAGGCCAGGTTGACTGCTGTTCGTGAACAAATTGCAGAGACTCGAAGAGGAGAATGTAGTACGGCGCGCCAGTCGCGATTAGATACCATGCGCACTCAAAATGCATTGTCGCGGTCTCAGGAAAGTGCAGAAGCACATGAGATGCGGCTGTCAATTGACCGAGAGCGCCATGCTAAGTCACGCGCGTCAGAGACGTTCACGCAGCGAGAGACGAGGCTGAGTTCTCAGCGCAACCGCACTGATGTCGCTCGATCTTGTGAGAGTGTTGAAGGGCGACAAGCGCGTTTGGAAAGCGATCGGGAGCGCCACGCTGAGTCTCGCGCATCCGAGACGTATACGCAGCGCGAGACGAGACTAAGTTCGCAGCGCAGTCGCACTGATGCCGCTCGATCTTGCGAGAGTGTCGAAGCGCGACAAATTCGACTGGAAAGTGATCGGGAGCGCCACGCTGATTCTCGCGCGTCTGAAACGTACACGCAACGAGAGGCGAGGTTATGTTTACAGCGGAGCCGCGCTTCTTTTTCTCGGTCGATTGAAGACGATGAAGAACGGGAGACCCGCTTAAGAAGAGACCGCTCTCAGCATGCCCTGTCACGTTCTTTAGAGACAGATGAGCAGCGTGAAGAACGTCGTGCAGCTGCTCGGCAGCGGTACCACGAACTGCTTGGAGATGCGTCTACTCATCTATCACAAGAACGGGACAGAATTCAAGAGATTCGGGGAACTTGGTCGGACGAACAGCGTGCGGCACAAGTAGAACAAGATCGCCTGCGTCGTAACGTAAATCAGCTTTCAACATCTGATGAGGAATCCACGGTTTACGATATCGAAGAGCAACCATGGCTAAACAAAGAGGGAAGTGGATTTATGTACAATGTTGCGATTAACTACGCCGCTTATGGCAATATTGGTGCCTTAGAAGAAGTGTGTGCTCACTGCCAAGCACGCAAATGGAAAGGGAAGCCAAATGGGATGTGTTGTGCATCTGGTAAGGTCCGCTTGGACTCTATGCAGGACCCGCCAGACCTGTTAAGAGTCCTATTAAATGGCGAGCATCCAAAGTCCAGCCATTTTTTGAAAAACATCCGAGCTTATAATAGCGCCTTCCAGACGACTTCTTTTGGTGCAAATCAAATCGTTGAAGCAGGATTCATGCCAACATTCAATGTACAGGGGCAGGTTTATCATCAAATCGGTTCTTTACTACCAACAGACAAGCCAAAATTTTTGCAAGTTTATTTTATTAGCGATTTCGATGAACAAGCCAACGTGCGAAGCAGACACATCCCCAATTTGGACTCTGGTCTGGTCAGGGGATTGCAAAGTATGTTGCATAATGTGAATCGGGCGGCTTTGAAGTTCTCAATGTGAGGATTCACATGGCGTCGGTGCCTGAGAACGAGCGCAACCGCTTTAAGTTTGTCATCAGCGCAGATAGAAGACCGATCGCAGCCCATCCCGGGCGGTATAATGCACCAACGACGAATGAGGTAGCCGTTCTCTTAGTCGATCAGGAGTGTGATAAAAGAGATATCGTTTTGCGCACGCATGATGACCGGCTTCAAAGGATCAGCGAGACACACCGCGCTTACGATTCTCTTCAATATCCTCTTATGTTCTGTCGCGGAGAGGATGGCTACCATTTTGCCCACTATAATGAAGATCCCCAGACAGGCTCCCTGAATTACATCAAAAAAACGTCCGCTATGCAGTTTTACAGCTTCTTGATTCAGCTTCGAGTAAATGACAGATCTTATCTCCACCGTAACCGAACGCTCTTTAGTTAGTTTCTGGTGGATATGTACGCCAAAATTGAGACAGAGCGTTTGGTATTTATAAGGTCCAACCAAAGAAAGCTGAGAGCTGAGAACTACGTCCATCTCAGGGATGCCATGCATCACGATGCAAATGCTCAAGATGTAGGAAGGATGGTCATTCTACCCTCCACCTTCACAGGAGGTCCGCGGTACATGCACGAGAGGACGCAAGACGCGTTTTGTTACGTGCGAAAGTTTGGTAGCCTGGACATGCTCACTAAAAAACTACACTTAAAATGACGCAGGCATAGTATTTTTGGTGCTTTACGGCGTCCGCGCGGACGAAGTCGCGGGCAACAGCTAGTAACTAATAAAACTTAACAACACTACTTATAACAAAACTTTTAAGCCGAATGCGCGAGCGATCCGTTCCGACACACGCTCGCGGTACACAAACAGTAACATCGCAGCAAGGCGAAATGGCGACTGCATGTGATGAGACACACACAAACATAAATCTGTTGTTGCCAATTACACGAAAATTAGGTACAAAATTTCGGGGTAAAAAATAAAAAATTATGCATGGTCGTAATTTATCATTCTGTTATTTTTTGTAGAGAAATGAATTGATTAAATCAATTTAATTCCAATTTCATTGTTTAGTAAATTTAGAATAATAAAAGTGCAGTGTGATAGAAAGCTGTATTTCCATTCCAGGGAGATTGTGTTTAATTTCTGGCTTGACTATCAATTCATGGCTATTGTGAAGCCATGTAAAAATCTGTAAGTAGTTTAAAAACTAGCCAGTAATCGCTTGAAAAGAACAATCAATTAATAAATTAGGTAGTATTTGTAAATGCTTTAAAATTAAAACTAGACTAATCTTTATTTATTTTTTATTCAATTTATGTGCGCGACAAGATTTTCATTAATTGATTAATGAAAATCTCATCAATGTAATTATGAATGCAAAGGAGTTCTCAAGTTTTAGATAAATTTCGATAGTTCTAACATTTTCGTTAACTACCTGAGGTAACAGAAGTTAAAAGTTGGCAACACTGGTTCAATCGACAGAAAGGGACGCAGCTATTCTGTACCTACGTTGGACGGGATCGTAGGTACCTACGGCGCGGTGGGCGCCGATCGCCGCTGCGCCGTGACCGCGGCGCGGTGAGTTCAAACGACTCTAGCTAGGTAGAAATTGAACAGCTGATTTCATGCGTAGTTCTTTAGAGAATTCACACAACCATTGCGTATTTTTTTGTTTTAGCTGTGTTATTTACATTAATGTTATTCTTCATATGAATGAGAGATTGTAATTATACATTGAAATAGAGGTGTAGGAACTGGAAGCACGAAAAAAAAAATTGAAAATTTTCCTGAAAGAATTTTCACTGGAATATGATTCAGAATAAGGAGCTGATTGCACCCTGTTAATTTGTGGAGGGCTGTCCCTTACACCCTGTATAATACAAAAACATATATGAATACAATAAATATATTTTACAAATACATATATAGTATATAAATAATACTATTAAATATGGGAAGAATGAATTATGAATATATGTATACAAGAAACAAAAACAACAATACACAAGATATACGACTGGTTGCCCTCCTAATATCCGTCACTTCCTTCACTCAAATCATAGTGTTCCTTGTCCACATTATGTAGCGTAAATGGCTTACCATCAGATAATTTTATGATGGTTTACATCTCTCTTTCTCTCTCAGATCTCAGATCTCGTCTAATCATGTAGATAACAGAATCAGGGCAAAAAGCATAATAATACTTTGAATAACCGAAGTGACTGTAAATGTTTGTAAACTTATAATATGACATGGAGTCTTTGGCAAACTCAATTATTGGGCTCGGAAATGACCCGAGAATGACCAGACAGTCCTAACAAAATCTTCGTTCGTCGTAAGAACTAGCAAAATGTAATGTATAGATGCTCATAGTGATTTTATTCTAGCCATTATACAAATACCTCAATATATCTACAATTCAAATAAATCACGTTTATTTAGTATATTGTAGGAGAGCAAACGAGCAGATGGATTAGGTACCTGGTAAGCGATGGACTCGCGCAATGCCAGAGGACTTACGAATGCGTTGCCATCCTTTTGGGGATTAAAGTTTTAGAGATTTAGGGATTAGGGAGGGATTGGGAGAGACGCAAAAGGACTGGGCCTCCAGTAAACGTATTCACTCAGCTCAACACATATGTTTATATGACGCTTGATTTCCGTGAGGCCGTTCTCTCACAGTAAAAATTTCATTATGATATAATCAATTCAGATAACATGTTCATATATTCTTTCTTTTTATCTCCAAGCATTCCTAACTGCTGTAATATAATAATTACATCGCCTATAAATAGAGTGGTTGAGAGAGGCCACCGGTGTACGCTTAGCGTTTTTATAGATTTAGAATTATTTGAATCACTACGGACATGCATTGTGTCCTTTGCCATGCAATTGCCATATTATTTTACATAATCAAATATTAACTAACCACCGAAGTTACTGCACTTGGTACATATATGACTCTACCTTACTGGCCGCACCGGGCCAGTCAACCACCAATCACACAACCACTAAGCCGATCTGCTCTAGCAGAAGGCCCCGTCCACGAGTACATGAGCCTTGGGCTGGCAACCGGTTCTCAAAAAAAGCCAAGCCTAATTTTTATCTTAAAGTCAACGTACATTATTGTTACATCAGTCTTTCATCGCATTCATAATGGAAATCAACCAAAATATTGCGTCACCTGCGCTATATAAACGGATGCTCATTTCCACAATCATCATTCAAATCGTCTAGTGTAAAACAGAACCTTCTTAATAGAAAAATACAAATAATCCAAAATGGGCCCTCACTTCGACCAAGAACACCGCGAATTCCCTTTCAAGGGACATTTTGGTCCTCAGGACGAGAAGAAGAAACATTCTGGCTGTCCGTTCTCTAGAAGCCAAAACTCCAGTGAACGTGGACCTCCACCATTCGTGTTCGGACCAGGGTTTGGACCTAAGGAATGGCACCATGGATCAGGACATCACGGGCCAAAGGACTGTCATCGTGGACCACCAAAGGACTGCCACAAGGGATGGTTCCATCATGGACCTAAGCATGAAGACGGACCTTCGCCTCATCATTTCTTTGGACATCATGGTTTTAGGCATGGCCGTGATGAAAGACATCATCATGACTGGAGAGGACCTAGCAGTGAGCATCATGGACCTCCAAGGCATTGGTTCGGACTTAAAGGACCTTCAGAATCGGAAGAACGTCCTAAAGGACCCTGGGGTAAGCCTTGGGGACCTTGGGCGGCCGCTTGGGGATCCGACCAAAAGCCTTAAGTACCAATACTCGGCCAAAGAAGAAAGTTCTTTGTTATTAGGTGTATAAAGTTAAATATTTTTACTTTAGGCGTTTATGTATTATTCGTAAATGCGTAAACGTAAGTGATTTATATAGTGTGATTTATAATAAGTTGTAAGCACAGGAATTGTGACGTGTACTTAAGTGTGACAATTCGGTAATTATTGACTGATTGATTTATTTTATCAAATATTCTATTTCATACTATTCAAGTATTAATAAACTTATTCGTGAGCTGTAAAATGGTTTTGTCTATTTCTATATCTTTCCTTGTTAAAGTAATTTAGTGAAATTACTTAAATGTTATTTTAGTACCACCGAGTGAAATGCCCACTTCTTAAAAAGAACAATAACTCTAGGGGATTCCACTTAATGCATTTAAAATAAACATAGATCAGAAACTGTAGAACACAGTTAGACCAGCAATGCACTGTAACTCCGTATGTCTGATCACAGTTAATCTGTTGTTTTTTCCATGATCCTCGATGGGTTGAGGGTCATGCGTAATAACATACGCTCGGCGATGTTCAAGCAGGAAAGAACGGGATGGCGTGATGTTTTATAGCTTATAGCACTTAGGATCTTTGTAGCTATCTATCAGTGAAATAATTTTGGCAATCCGACCAGCGGTTCCAAAGATAAAACTTACAAACTTCCAATTTTACCTCTTTATAATTTTAGTATAAAAAAGGCGGTGCTGTTTTTTTTGAGTGGCGCCAGTCTTGGGACGTCATAATGAAACCAGCCCGTTTCATGTCCTGCTCCGGGTTAGGGCTACGGTACATTAAAGCGCTTCTAGGTAATTTGTTTTTGGCCTTCGGCGGCCTCTTGCTTGGTCTTAATCGAGGCCATGGTTCATATCGAGAGGAACTGGGAAGCTGTCTCCTCTTTCTGCGAAGCAGTGATGCTCGCAAAGGAGGAGGTGGAGCGCGTGAGGGAACTATCCTCCTCGCGCCCCAGCCGCCGCAGAAGGCGACATTCCGGACGTCGGGGATCGAGAGCCGTAGCTCGCCGCCCGACCAGAACCAGATCGGAGCGTACGGCGCGTAGCGTTCTATAGGGCTGATCAAGGTAAGCGCAATGAGGCACCTCGACCTCGGCCCAGAGCAGGAGAAAGAACAGGGGGTTTTTAGTCAGGAAGAATCTGAAACTGCCTCCCGCAAATAACGGACCAACTCGAGTGACTCGCAAATTTTAGTTCCAGGTCTAGGTGTAAATTGTATGTAGGTACGTATTGTAATACCACAACAATCGCATCGCACCACTACAACACGCGCGCGCGCCGAGTTATCGAGCGCCGCCCCTCCGCAGCCCCACACACGTAGCCGCCGAGCTTCCCGGCGGGTATAAAAGCCCATACGAGTCGATTATTCGGCAGTCTGCGTTCGGCACGGTTGAGGTACATATCCCAGCATCGACCTAGGTCGGTCACCCCCTCTGTCCCTCAAGCTGTCGTATACAGGCTGCGGCACCGTCTATTGTCTGCCTCTTGTGTTGACTTCGCTAGCGAAACCACACATCTGACTTATAATGTACGGCGTCATTAGGGATTTCTTTTAGACTTTCATATTGTTATTGTTAAAATTGTTCCTTAATCCAATAAATACTTTAGTTCTGGTTTGTAATGAGCGTTTTGTTTAATCTCCCTACACAGCCCCTCGTTACAGTATGTAATTGTTTTTTCACGACGCACATAACGAAAAAAAATCAATGTAAAATATTTTTTTTTAGTGTTCGACCAACTTCTTTGGGCCTTTTTACTATGTATGTCAGTAATAGCACATTATTAAATGTTGCTGTAGGGATTTGCGAAACTTACGAGTCCGACAAGGACCTGTACCAGGCAGAAAGAAGAGTCGCCGCGCCGTGGTGTCCGCCTATCAACTTCCCTAAGAGGAGGTCTAACTAAAAGTAACAGGACGAGCCCGGCCCCTAGTTAAGACAGTCGTTGTTGCCAATCCGACATGAGCCGCCTCCGTTTCGCATGAGCTCACCTCGCTACGCACGAGTTTTGCCACAGTGTTCTTTTGCCCTCAGACCCCCGACAGTGAATACGGCGAGGAAATTTGCCGCGTCCCGGGAGATCATGCGATATCCTCGAATGATGCATATATGTTGGGAGCTGTCTACACTGACCATGATCTCATCTTTCTGTCAAAGTTTTTTTAGGAGGATATTCGTCCAGTGACTAATTCGGCTCTTGGTGGAGTGAGACGGAGGGTCAAACTCTTAGTGACTCAAAACTACACGTTCCTTCCTTCTTTGAATTGAACATGGCCATCATTACGTTTAACCTTTAACCCATCGAAATCATTGGAAAAAACGACTTATCAACTGGCATATTTTTAAGTATCAATTGTCCAATAAGTCACGTGATAGGATTTAATTTATTTACAAGTAACATAATAAATAATGCGATAAAATAAATTACGTTATTTATTGGGAACTCATTAAAATTTAAACTGTGTAAGAGTGACCAATAAAAAGGCGAGCTCTACAATACTTCCAGTCTGGTCTAGGATGACGGAGTTCAGTCCCTTCCTTATTTCTCACGAAGAATAAGTTTAATAACATCCCTTCCTTGATTTAAGAAAAACTGAAATTTATTTACCATAGATTCGGATAGAAACAGTCGCAAGATTTTTTGACAGGAAACCATGTTTTTTAAGATATGGGTAAATTACTCCATAGTTAACATAATAATCCTACAAATTATTGCAATAAGTTACTTTAAAAAGGAATACGAAAAAAGTGGGAACAGAGGAAAATACAATTTATAGTCGCGTATAAGTTTATTAATATTTAAATAATATGAAATACAACATTTGATTAAATAACAAATCAATCAAAAATAAATTGTAATACTTAAAACACTAAGTCACAATTCCTGTACCATATAACTTATTATAAATCTCACTATATAAATCACTTACGTTTATGCATTTACGAATAATACAAAAATGCCTAAAGTAACACATAATAAAATCTCAGAGATGAATAATAAAAAGGACCTTTATGCACATAATAACAAAGAACTTTCTTCTTTGGCCGAGTATTGGTACTTAAGGCTTTTGGTCGGATCCCCAAGCGGCCGCCCAAGGTCCCCAAGGCTTACCCCAGGGTCCTTTAGGACGTTCTTCCGATTCTGAAGGTCCTCTACGTCCGAACCAATGCCTTGGGGGTCCATAATGCTCACTGCTAGATCCTCTCCAGTCGTGATGATGTCTTTCTTCACGGCCATGCCTAAAACCATGATGTCCAAAGAAATGATGAGGCGAAGGTCCGTCTTCGTGCTTAGGTCCATGATGGAACCATCCCTTGTGACAGTCCTTTGATGGTCCTCGATGGCAGTCCTTTGGTCCGTGGTGTCCTGAGCCATGGTGCCATTCCTTAGGTCCAAACCCTGGTCCGAACATGAATGGTGGAGGTCCACGTTCACTGGAGTTTTGGCTTCTAGAAAACGGACAGCCAGAATGTTTCTTCTTCTCGTCCTGAGGACCAAAAGGTCCCTTGAAGGGGAAGTCGCGGTGTTCTCGCTCGAAATGTGGGCCCATTTTGGATTATTTGTATTTTTCGATTTGGAAGGTTCTGTTTCGAACTAGAAGTTTTGAATGATGATTGTGGAAATGAGCATCCGTTTATATAGCGCAGGTGACGCAATATTTTGGTTGATTTCCATTATAAATGCGATGAAAGACTGATGTAACAATAATGTACTTGTTGACTTTTTGATAAAAACTAACATCTTGATCTGATGCAATATTTGTTGACTATGAATCCGAGCTTATGATCCTGCAGGACGTTGAACCGTAATTACATAATTCTAAAGTTAAAATTACTTTGAACTTTTTCTTGGTCTGTGTGACTTTTTTACGAAGTATCAACTATGCTGTGTTATTAGTCTGAAATCAACTTTAAATGAACTATGGTATAGTTGGTATTTCTTTAATAGATTCGTTAGGCTATTACGTCGATTAATTACAGCCATTTTGGATGCTTGGTTTCTATCTGCAGAAAAGTACCTAATCATCATTTTTAATACTGTTACGGGCCTACCCCTGCTTTCTTTTAACTTTCCCCTCTACTTTTCTAAAAGTTTCTTACATGAGGACCTTCTTCGGAAATTACGAAACCCAACAATAAAATTATGGATCCAGGCGTTGCTAAGTTATGCGCTAACTTACACAAAAACATTCTGATTATTATTTTTATAACAGTACATACAGATATATTTTTTCTGTTATTATGTCTTTTTTATACTTTCTTTGTTTTTGGTTTGTGTTTATGACATATACATTATAATTTATGTTTATGACATATCCTTTTTTTTAATAATTATTTAATCGATCATCTTTCTTGTCTTCTGTATGTTTGTAAGGGCTTTTTAACAAAATTTGTGCAAAACAATATGCCCATAAACTTAATCTTTCCTTTCAGATATCAATTTACAAAGTTTTGCCTGACATAAAATGCTGTTATTCAGCAATATCTTTCTTAATAAGTAAAAACCAAACTACGAATAACGACTAACAAAAAACAGTCCAAAATTAATAAAGAATTAGAAAAAGGTAAAGACAGTCCTAAAGATGTGTGATAAGAGTGTGAGATAGCCATGCTTCACCACGAATGGCTGGCAAGGCCTTGCGTAAAACTGGCGTGAAACAAAGTTGCGTTGTACTGTGTCAGTAAGGTTACCGAAGGCCCAATCATCCCCTTCCCAATCCCCCTTTGCATCCCTACATCACAAATCATCAGAAACTCAGGATAGAATTGTCAGACTCTTACTGACTACAGCCCACCCAATTCCCTCTTATGCTCCGCATTTGTTTTTAAATGCATTTGCATCGGCAAATAACTGATTTTGTTCCTCTTCCTTGCATTTACAATATCAAACGGCATAATTACATTGGATTATAAAAACTATCGTTAAGCAATGATATGCTGGTTTGAATCTTGCATTGTGTTTGTTATAAGGCGCTTTTAAAAAACTTAATAGTTAGTAGAATTTTAATTCTCAAATTCAACCCATTTTCAAATGTCATACATAAGTATGGGTGAGTCAACTTCGGTACGAATTGGTCAGCTCAACCGGAGTTAAACCACGGTCTCACAGATAACCAACTTGAAACGACCAGAGCGTTGTGTTTCGCCGTGTAGTGAGGTTACCGGAGGCCCAATCCTTCCTGTCCTCCAATCTCTAATTCTTCAAACCCGTAAAAGCGGATGACGCATTCGTCACTGCTCTGGTGTCGTTGGTGATCGTCGGCTGTGGTGATAGCTTACCAACAGATAAATCGTCTTTGCTAGCCTATAAAAAAAAATTGTTTATTTGAATGTCACGTAATTTGAAAAATAAGAATATTAATACGGTAGTTTCCAGCTAATCTAATTCAATACTTGTATCCAAATGTCAAAACTATCTATACTTTTCTACGAAATTTGTAAGAAACACTGAGTTGTGACGTCATAGTATTTTGGCGTCAAATAGCTTACTTATTTCTTATTAATTAGCTGAAAAATATCTGAAACTTCGTGTATCGATCGAACGATGAATAAAAGTACAGTTATTTTTCGATATTTTATTGTATTGTATTGACGTCGAATCAATTTATTTTTGACCTAGGAAACTACCCAATTGTATCTTAAAATCCATGAATAAAAAGTATTTTTAATGAGTAATGCATTGAAAAGTTGTTTTTTTCTGTTCAATTAATTTATTTCTTTTATTCCATTCTATTTCAGTTCTATGCTCGGCATTCGTGATCACCAATTCTCAAACTAACAACTGACAAGATAAAGAAAAAAAATTGCATTACACACTATATTTTTTACATCTAGTTTAAAAGGGGTTTGCCATGATGTCCGTTCTTAGAAAAGAAGTTTATTTTTTGAGGGCGGATGCGCATTGACTAAATTCGGGCTGGGGCTACATTAAAAATCGCACTAGAAATTGGCTCTAGACCCCTTGGATTGAAAAAAGGTGATGCTATATTAGAATATTATTGACATTCGTCCAATTTGTTCATTTTAGAATGACATTATCAAAAACCAGTGCCTGATAAAGTCAAGTTTTTTGAAACAAACAAAGAAGTTGCATCAGTTTATTTTAATAAATCGTTTGAATAGCAATAAACAATAAAAGTATACTATGCATCGACATGGTTGGGCCGACCGGGGTGATACCACGGCCTCACAGAAAACTGGAGTCAAACAATGCTTGCTTTGCAATTCAGTGTGAGTGAGGTCACCGGATACAGTCCTTTCCCTCCTCTTCCACAATCCCAATTTTCTGCCATCTTTAAGTGTGGGACAGGCATGCTTGAGCACGAATGGGTCCGTGCTATCACATTTAATAAATTGTCACGTCCTTAACAACACGTTAAAGGGCGACAACGCAGTTATAACTCTTGTGGTGTTGCAGATGTCGATGGCCTATTGCTTACTATCAGGTGATCTGTGTGCTTCATTGTATAAATCACATAAAAAATACAACCTGCAAAGGAACTACCATCGCTTGGATGGGAAGTGCTAAAGACCTAGCTGATTTGGGTGTTTTAAAACAATATCTCCAACGACAGATGGTAATGAGCTGATGATGTGAAAATCTGCAACGAAGAAACAATTAAAAACTATTTAACAAACTTCCTCCTGCTCGGATTCATTTAACAATAATAATAATTAATCCCTTTGAATCTTGTCACCATTTATTTTTACGATGACGTCACATCCTGTCTCCCGTGGTAACACAATATGGTGCAACGAGCATAAAATTGACATTACACTATTATTTTTAAATGGAATTAAATTGCTGTTTTATACGTCGTGGTGACCCGGAGGTTAAGGTCCTCGCTTCCCATACATCAGGGAACGGGTTCGAAACTTGGCAAGTACCAATGTAACATTTTCCGAGTTATGTACTTTCTATGTTTATTGAAACACCACGGACAAATGGTAAAAGAAAATATAGTGAAGAAACCTCTTTTTTGTCAGGAGGGATGACCTCTCCCGCCCAGGGTAAGACGAGAGAGAGTGTCAGACTCTTACTGACTAAAAACCCCCCCGTTCCTTCTCCTGCCCTGAGGCAAGGCCACGGTGACTCATTGCGCTTAACCCGCAACCCCGACTATCGTGAAGAAACCTGGATTTATGATTTGTAATTATAATTTTGAGCGCGCCAATCCGCCTTGAGCATGGTGATTTATGCTTAACCCTTCTCCTTGTGAGAGGCCTTTGCTCAGCAACATAATGTGGTAAAAGAGAGAGAGAGAGAGAGATAGAGATAGAGAGAGAGAGGTCTTCTTCTTCGGTTCCTGTATACTCGATTTTAAAGTCCCTTGATCGACTCCTGCCTTGGTACATATCTAGGACCGGACTACCTACCTATCCGCCGGGTTTTCGGATCAGGCGCAATGATGTACCACAGCCGTGTCTGTCTTAATGACTAACCAAACCCCCCACTTCCCCTCCCCGTTCCTTCTCTTGCTCTTGACCAAGGCCGCGGTGCAGCGGTGCATCATTACCTACCTACCCCTAGTATAAAAAACGTGATAAGGTAAAGTTAAGAAAAAATCTCTTCAAAATCTTAGACTGCAACATGAAAACAGGACACTCTCAAAGAAAACCTAATTTCCATATAGACACAAGGGAATTTCAAAAAATGTTTCTTAGAACAATGAATATAAAGAAGCTACATAAAGTCTAATTTGCTTTGAAACCACTTCAACGCGGTATGTGAATGAATATAATTACAAATGCACACAACGGTTTAGCCTAATTTCAATTCATGCTAGAAATTAGACTAATTCCAGACTTAAGGTTAGGCTAGACGAGATTGGCAGAACTTTGTTAAAAAGCGTTCTTCTCTTTCTTGTAAAATAACTATTGTAAGACTCGTTGTTCATTAATGTAAGTCCCGATATGTCTTGAAACTGGTAGAACTGGTGAGTAATTTGTTTACTTCTAGATGGATTGTTCTAGAAGACCTCTGAACTTTTATGTACATCAGTAAATAAGCTTACGTAAATCTATAAAAAATAGTAATAATGAATGAAATAATAAATTAGTGTCTGCAAAGAAGCTTAAATCTATCTTTCTTTTTTTAAAAACGTTGCCCCACAATAGGATTTTCTCCTGTGTCGTGGGTGCGTTTACAAACATACAATTTCACATGCACATCACACCCAGACCCGGAACAACAATCTGTGGACCACACAAAGAGTTGTGCCGTGCGGGTATCGAACCCGCGACACGTTGCGCGGCAGCCAGTTGCCCAGCCACCGCGCCAACCGTGCAGTCTATCAACTGATCATCGTATGTATCCAGCTCGGACTGCTTTGCTTTCGAAACCTCTAGTCTCTGGGCCAGCTAGACAATATAATACACTGCCTCACAGCAAATCAACGTGAACCAACGCTGGTCGGCTCCACAGCCGCTATCCTCGTCTTCAATCCTAATAAATCCCTAATTCCTAAAAGACCGACAACGCACTCATAACTTCTTCGGAATAAATATTACCAACAAGACTAACAACGGCGTCAGGCGATGTCTCCACTCTTTCTTATGAGAATAAGCTTCACAGCTTAAGAAGACTATCACAAGAAGAAGAAAGAAACTTTATCTTCTTGAACAACTTACCAGCCGACCGCCGCTGTCCAATGGTGAATTGGCAAAATGGGTCCAACCAACACGT